GGGATCTTAAATAACCTAAATGAGTAATAGAGGCATAAGGGAATTTTGGGAACAGTGGCAATAAGGAGGTGGCTATTTTCAGTTTAAAAGGGACAACTGCTCAGCTCCAGATAGTTATCACTGAGGAAGACAAAGTCGATGTTGCTTGTTCTTGTTTTAAGTGTTGTAGAGTTGGTTCCAACACATAGCAACCCTGTGTAGGGTTTCCAAGAAGCAGTTAGTGAGTTTGAACTATCAAGCTTGTGGTTAGCAGACCAGTGCCTATCCAACAACCCCACAGCATGTTGCTAGATCTTCCTGTTTTTAAAGAGAAGATGGAAATCCGATTTTTTTTTTTTAATGTAAACATTAGTTAGCATTCACCAATTTTAAAATATGATGGGAGCTAAATAAAGGCCATTGTGCTGCTTGGACACTTTGCCCACTTCTAGAACTTTAATTTTACAGAACATGTAGGATTTAGTGGTCTCAAAACCAAACTCCAGATCATTATTTGTTCTTGATATGTTCAGGTAACAGCTTTGGTTTGGCATAGAGAACTCTCTGTGATTGCATTGAACAAATATCTGTTGTATCAGACTCTGTGTTAGCCTTGAAAGACAGAAACACCATAAAACCCTAGTGCTTGCCTACAAGGAGCTCACAGGTTGGTAAGGGAAACATGATGTGAGTTAGGATGTTACGGAACAGAAACCTCACCTTTCAAGTGGAGACCTCACAGCTGGAAAATTTAAGACATTATGCTCATATAAGTGCAATGGAGTTTATATGGGTTTACTCTTAATTACCTGGCAAAAATATTATCCCAAAGAGTGCTGTAAAACTAAAAAACCCAAACTAAACCTATTGTTAAGTGCTGTTGAATTAGTTCTGACTCATAGTGATCCTATATACAGTTTCCAAGGAGTAGCTGGTTTGAATCGCTGACCTTGTGGTTCAAACCAACCTTGTTGTTTACTGTTTATCCCAAACCAAACCTACTGCCATTGAACAGATTTTGACTCATAGAAACCTTATGTTATTCTTGTCAGGCGCCATCGAGTTGGCACCAACTCAGAGTGCCACTGTGCAGAACAGAATGAAACAATTGGTCCTGCACTAAACCTCACAGTTGTTGCTAAGCCTGAACCCACTGCTGCCGCCATTGTGCTAACCCATCTTGTTCAAGGCCTTCCTCTTTTTCTCTGACCTTCCACTTTACCAAGTATGAGATCCTTTTCTAGGGACTGGTCCCTCCTGACACCATGGCCGAAGAAGAAACCGTACAGGACAGAGTAAAACTGCTCCTTTTTGTTTCTGATTATGTAAACATTTATGGGAGCAGACGAGCTCATCTTTCTCCCATAAAATCATCTTAAAGTGGTGTTTCATTTTGGATATATATATTTGCATTCATTTGTCATATTTTAAGTATCTGTGGTATACTTTCTGTTTATGAAGCACCATAGGAGAACAGATAGAAAAATTATGCCTTTGAATTATGGTATTGGCAAAGAAAAAATATACCACGGTCTGCCAGAAGAATAAAGAAATTTTTGTCAGAAGAAGTACAGCCAGAATGCTGTTTAGAAGTGAAGATAGGGAGACTTCATCTTATGGACTTTGGACATGTCATTAGCAAGACCAGTCCCTGGAGAAGGGCATCAGGTTTTGTAAAGTAGAGTACCAGTGAAAAATAGGAAGACCCCCAGAACAAAGTGGAGTGACATATGGCTGCTTAACAAAGGGCTGAAATAAGAATGATTATGAAGATGGCACAAGACCAGGCAAGATTTTGTTCTATTGTATGAGGTGAGTCCAAAATTATCCCCACTCTGGCTGTAGAATTTATTTTAATCAACTTTTAGAAAAGACAAATACATAATTTTTCATCATAATCTCCTAACTTTTTAATACAATTTGTCCATCTCTCAGCAAGCTTTCATAGTCCCTTAATAAAAAATGTTTTCAGCTAAGCTATGAACCTTGAATGCACCACTATCTTCAATTCTTCATTAGAAGTGAGTCTGTCCTCACAGGGCTGCTTTCAGGGGACCAAACAGGTGAAAGTTTGATGGAGGAAGATCAGAACTATAGGGATGATACTTTGACACTTGAAAACAAAGTTTTTTGCAGAATGTCAACGGTGTAGGCAGAGATGTGAGGACATGCATTGTCATGCAAGATCACAATGACCTTGGTTTGCAGTCCTCTGCAAATAATCTGGTTTAGGCTTCAGCTCTTCCCTGAGCATCTCACTGTAAGAAGCACTATTGGTTGTTGAATGTTTTTCCTGATAGTGTTCTTATACTGGCCCTTGAGACTCCCAGAAAACTGTGTAAGCATCAATTTTCCAGCTGATGGCTGACTTTTGAACTTTTTCTTGGTTTGCGATTGAGGACATTTCCATTCCATATTCTGTTGTTTACTCTCAGGCTTATTATATAGAGGAATACATGTCTAGTTGCTAATAATGATTTTTTTTTAAAAACGAACTTTCACCTTCCTTCAAGTATGGTCCAAATTTTGTTTGCAGATATCCAAACGCTTCTGTCTATGTTCTTCCGTGAATTGTCTCCAAGCCTGTCTTGTGCAATCTTTTTGAAACCCAAGTCTATCATGGGTTATTTCATAGGCAGAGCCATGTTGATTTGCAAATGATTTGCCACGTAATCTAATGTTACTTATCTATTTGACAGAATCATTTCATTTGCATGCTCAATGTTGTCATAAGCTGTGGACGTGGGTGGGCATTTTTAGCCAACCAGAGTATGGATCATTTGTGACTCACCCTCGTACTTGGGGTCGCTATGAGTCAGAACTGACTCAATGGCACCTAACAACAACAAAGGAGAATTAGAAACCCTGGTGATGCAGTGGTTAAAGTACTGGGCTCTTAAACAAAAGGTTGGCCGTTCAAACCCATTAACTGATTCACAGGGGAAAGATGTGGCAGTGTGCTTCAGTAAAGATATACAATCTTGGAAACCTTATCTGTCATTCTTACTGTATCCTATAGGGTTGTTATGAGTCAAAATCGATTCGAGGACAGTGGTTTTTGGCAGGTAAAGATGAATGAAAAAGGAGAAGACAAAGTCCCTACTAAGAAGGAAATAAAATTTTGTTGATCAAGCAAAATAGGCAGACTAGAGAGCAATCCCAAAGGAAGCTAAGTTAAGTCAGACAATGCCCCGTGGAGGCCAGAAAGTTTTGGAATACAAACCAATGTTTTAAATGTTCATCTATACAAAGGGACCTGATAATGTTGCCTTATCTACACACATATCTATCGAGAATCAGTTTTAGAGATGCATGAGGCTGCAAAGCTGACTAAGTGACTCCAGATAACTGGTAGACTCTGAATAAGTTGACAAAGGGAGAGAGAAACAAATCTGGTGAAAGAGAGCAAAATGCAACCAGTATTTGTTTCTTCTGCCTGTGACATGAATTTCTTTTTTTTTGAATAAACAATAAGCCTGGAGTTAGTTGAGCCCTGCATTTTACCTCAGTGTTCTCTTCCATCCCCGAGCACTATTAGGAGAATCCAGTCAGTCCTTCTTGGCAATGCCTGGGGAACTAGTGACACTCTGCTTGATTGTTACCAAATTTATTCCCAGGAAGTAGGAAGTAAGTTGTTTGTTTTTTTTCCTTGGTGTGCCCTCATCCTTGGAGTCTCAAGCTCAGCTTTCTGAAGTTTTCCGTAGTAAGGGATCTACCTCATCAACATCTAGTCCATCTCCTCTTGCAGGGAAGAGGTTGGCCCAAGCGGTTTCTGGAAGGCTCTCCTGTTCAGGAGCTCAGTCCCTACTAGGGCAATTTGCTTCACTTTGAGACAGTTTTGTGAAAGATTCCTTTCATTTAAGGACTGAAAAAAAGGTTAACTGCTTACCTGTGGTGTTGTTTTATTTACCAGATCAATTAACAAGAGGGAAAAAGTTGATGATAAATATTTATTGACCAATTAATATGTGGTACAAGACCAAGAGCTATTGTGAAGCATCAAAGCAGCTGTATGAGCGAGTACTACAGTCATCACCATATTATGGACGAGGAGACTGGGCTTTGAGCTTCAGTGCTATGTATGAACCAGGTCACTGCGCAGCTCAGGTTCTTCATTTATTTAAATCTTGTGTGGACCATACTTAGTCACACTGGATACCACTTTGGTGGTGTTGTTAAATTGTTAAGTGCTGTGAAGTCGATTCAGACTCACAGTGACCTTGTATAGCATTACCAAGGGGTAGCTGTGGGTTTGAGCCACCAAACTTGAGGTTAACAGTCCAGTGCTTATCCTACAGTGCCACAACAGGCTATCACTTAAGTTACAACTTCTACAATGAGTGCTTTATATCTCATATTTAACACATATTCAGCAGTCCAGCTTTGGTGTGTTTTCTCTATATCAATGAATATTGCTTTTTTATACTTTAAATCTGATATATAATAATTTCATAAAAGTGTTTTCCGCCCCCCAGAGTCCTATTTAAATTCTCAACATATGCCAATTATGGTTGAAATCATGAACAATTTATAGTAATTCCTTAGTTCAACCGTGGCTTAGATGTTGTGACACTTGGCTTGATTTCACTTCTCTGTAGCTTCATATTTACTCTCCCTTGTTGTTTTGGTGAAAACAGACATAATCTTCATCTTCCAAATGACCTCTTCACATGTGTCTTCTGTCATATGAAATCTCTACCCATGAGCTGCTACTGAGAGAAGTAAGGGTCCAACTCAATTTATAATTGAAATACTCAAGAGGACTCCAATTCATTGAAGAAAGAGTAATGCTTTCTTCTTAATGTAATGTGCACTGATTTCTGATGGCGGAATTGGCCATGGAAACATTGGCATGTTGTGAGGTCATGTTAAGGAGAATAGAAATAAATAGGTAACTTTGAAACTTTTGTTGTGAGTTCTAAAAGATATCCTTTCAGATGTCATAATGTAATGGGCACTGAATGATCTGTTCCCTCATGCTCACACACAATAATAGCCAAAATAAAGGGGATTCTACTTACAGGCTGTCCAGGCTCATCTCCCCCAAGGATTCTGAAGCCAAATCCAGACTCCATTCTCCGAAGGTGAACATCCAGCTCTTTATAATCTGGACCTGGGATAAAGGAGATCCCATTGAGTAATGAGTCCTGTCTCCTCCCCACCCCTTGAGGAGCTGAACACACCAATGATACATTAATTTTATGGATGTGATTAATGAGAGTGTTGTTAGAATTGGTGGAGAGCAAATTTTTTTTTTTAGACGATAACAACAACAACAAAAAGTAACAAAAAAATAGGTGTTTCAAAATTAGGTAGTTCTGGGAATATCAGCTAAGGGCACTACTAGGATTTCACCATAAGCAGAGACCCCTTTGGATTTTCTGAGTGGAAAAATTCTGTGATCTGAATTGACTCTTCAATATTTATTTTGGGATGGTTTGCTGTCAACTTTGGTGATGGTTACTCTGACTGGAATAATTGTTTCAGAAGCCTGAGAGAATAGAGGGCAAAACGCTGAAACTAGCTAGCAATTTAGTAAGGCTGGTTTAGGATTTCATGCATTCATTGAACATGTGTGTGGAAATTTAAGTTTGAGAGAAGTTGTTTTTAAATTTCAAAAAATTGAAAATGTAGATTTTAAACTTTAATCTATTTGGGTTCAAGTGATATTTGTTTCTTCAGACAAACTACATTATATTTTTCATAATGTTGGTTTGGTGCCTGAATCTAAGATGAACTCTTAGCTCCCAAAGATTTGATCATGTGTAAGCCATTAGTAAATTCACTCCACTATTGACTCCACTTTCTGTTGTTGTTAGGTGCCATTGAGTCAGTTCTGACTCATAGTGACCCTGTGCACAGCAGAATGAAACATTGTCCTGTCATGCTCTGTCCTCACAGTGGTTACACTTGAGTCCACTGCTGTTGCCACTGTGTCAATCCACCTCCTTGGAAGAGCTCTTTTTTTCTTACCATACACTTTACCATGCATGCTGTCTTTCTCCAGGGAATGGTCAGTTAGAAGTGAGTATCCTCACTTCTAAGCAGCAGGTATTCTGGCTGTACTTCTTCCAAGACAGATTTGTTTGTAATTCTAGCAGTACTTGGTACTTTCAATATTCTTCTCTAACACCATAATTCAAATGCGGGTTGTTCTACAGTCTTCTTTATTCATCATCCAACTTTCACATGTGTATGAGGCTTGGGTCAGGGGCACCTTTGTCTTTAAACTGACATCTTTGCTCTTGAGCACTTTAAAAGAGGTCTTTTGCAGCAGATTTGCTTAATGCAATCCATCCTTTAATAGCTTCACTTCTGAGTCCATGAGTATTGATTGGGGATCCTAGCAAAATGAAGTGTCTGATAGCTTCATTCTTTTTTTCTGTTTATTGTGATATTATTGGTGTATTTGTAAGGATTTTGGTTTTCTTCACATTGAGGTTCAATCCCTACTGAAGGCTGTGGTCTTTGATCTTCATCAATAAGTCTTTTAAGTTTTCTTTGCTTCCAGCAAACAAGTTTGTGTCATTTGCATTATGAAAGTTGCTTCCTCCAATCCTAATCACACCTTTTTCTAAACAAAACCCAGCTTCCTGGAGTATTTGCTTGGTGTGCAGATTGGATATATATGGTGAAAGGACATCTCCCTGATGCACACCTTTCTTGATTTTAATCATTCAGTATCCCCTTCTGTTCAAATGACTGGCTCTTGGTCTATCTACAGGGTCCTCATGAGCAAAACTAAGTGTTCTGTAATGCCCACATACCCGTTCTTTGCTATGTTGTTGTTGTTAAATGCCATTGAATCGGTTCCAACTCCTAGCTATCTTGTATAGGGTTCCCAGGAAGTGACTAGTGAGCTTGAACCACTGACTTTGTAGTTCAAACCAACCTTGCGGTCCCGAGTATTAACCCACAGCATCATGCTTTATTATGATTTACATCCTTGGATGTCTTTGCATAGTAACTATGGCACAAAGTAAGCATCTCTGTGGTTTCTCTACTTCCAGTCAAGATCCAGCTGAAGTCATGAACAATATCCCTAGTTTCACATCCTCTTCTGAATCTGGCTTGAATTTCAAGAAACTGTTGATGTCCTGCTGCAATCGTTTTTGAATGATCTTCAGCAAAATTTTGCTTGCATTTGAGATAAAAAAATGTTGGATGATTTCTGTATTCATTGGGTCACTTTTCTTTGGAATGGGCACAAATATGGCTCTTTTCCAATTGGTTGATAAGGTAGCTGTCACCCAAATTTCTTGACATAGAGGAATGAGCACCTCTTATGCTATATTGGGTTGTTGAAAGATTTCAATTTGTATTCTATCAATTCCTTGAGCCTTCAGTGCAGCCTGGACTACTTCCTTCAATACCATCAAGTCTTGATAATATGCTACCTCTTGAAATGGTTGAAACACAAACCAATACATTTTGGTCCAGTGACTGTGTATTCCTTTCTTCAACTTTTGTCATATGATCCTTCAATATTGCAACCTGAGGCTTGACATATTTCTTCAGTTGTTTCAGCTTGAGAACTGTTGAACATGTTCTTCCCTTTTGGTTTTATAATTCCAGGTCTTTGCTCATTTCATTACAGTACTTTGTCTTCTCAAACTGCCCTATTGAAATTTTCTATTCAGCTCTTTTACTTCATCAGTTCTTCCAGATGTTTATATTCCCTACACTCGAGAGCAAATTTCATAGTTTGTTTTGACATCCATTTTGGACTTTTTTTCCTTTTTCCTTTTTAATGACCTTTTTCTGTCTTTTCATGTATAATGCTGTTGATGTCATCCCACAACTCTTCTGGTCTTTGGTCATTACTGTCTAATGCTTCAAATGTGTTCTAGAGATGGTTTCTAAATTCAAGTGGGATCTACTCAAGGTCATATTTTGGCACTTGTAAAATTGTTTTCATTTTCTTTAGGTTCAACCTAAACTCGCATATGAGTAATTGATGTTCTTTTCCACAGATGTAGTCTGGTAGCGTAGAGGTTACAAGTCAGGCTGCTAAATTCAATGTCAGTAGTTTGAAACTACCAGCTGTCCTGCAGGAGAAAAATGGGGCTTTCTGCTCCCATAAAGATTTACAGCCTCAGAAACCCTATATACAGGGATACTATGAGTCGGAACCAACTCCACAGCACACTACCACTACCACCACCAGTCAATTTGATTCCTGTGTATTCCATCTGGTGAGGCCTGTGTATATATTATGGAAAAAAAGTATTTGCAATGAATAAGTCATTGGTCTTTCAAAATTCTATCATGTGATCTCCAAGGCTATATTTTCGAACTACTGATCCTTTCTTGTTTCCAACTTTCACATTTCAATGATGAGTAATTATCAATGCATCTTGATTGCATGTTTGATCAGTTTCAGACTTAAGAAGTTGGTAAAATTCCTCCATTTCTCATCATTGGCTTAAATGGTTGGTGCATAAATTTGAATTATAGTCATATTAACTGGTCTTCCTTGTTGTTAAGGTCCAAGGAATTGGTTCCACTCACAGTGACTTTGTATAAGAGTTTCCAAAGCCTCATCTTACTCTTGAAGAGTGGCTGGTAGGCTTGAACTGCTAACTTGATGGTTAACAGACTATTTTGTATCCTACTGAGCCACTGCACTCCCTGGTCTTCTTCATAGGAGTATGGATATTATCCCATCACTGATCACATTGTACTTCACAATAGATCTTGAAATGCTCTTTTTGACAATGAATGTTACATCATTCCTCTTTAGTTTGTTGTTCCTGGCATTGTAAACCATATGATTGTCCAATTCAAAGTGGTCAATACCAGTCCATTTCAGTTTAGTAATGCCTAGCATACTGATCTTTGTGTCCCATTTCACTTTTGACAACTTCAAGTTTCCCTAGATTCATAATTTGTATATTCTGTGTCCCAATTAATAATGTATGTTGCAGTGGTTTCTCCTCATTTTTAATTTTGCTCCACCAGCAAACGAATGTCCTGGAAGCTTTGCTCCACTCAAGTCATTATGGTCAGCTCTACTTTGGGGAGGCAGCTCTTCTCCAGTTGTATTTTGCCTTCTAGTATGAGGGGCTCATCTTCTGGCAATATGTTAGACAATGGTCCACCTGTTTTTCCTAGTTAGTGTTAGTCTGGATGACCCTGCTGGTATTTAAAATAACCAATGGCAGAGCTTCCAGAATCGCAGCAACAAACTTGCAGACATGTGATGGTTGATTCCACTAGTATACCTTAAAATAAATTAGAGGAGGGATGCTTTTCTGCAATCAGCTGAAAAAAATATGTGTACTTTAAAAATAAAGTGAGAAATTCTCCTGAATGTCATTTTAGTGTTTTCCATCCTAGAATTGAAACATTAAGTACATTAAAAGAAATCCTTTAGGCTTTTAAAGACAAATATGGTTTATGCTGACTGTCTCCCCAAATCTCCAGCCTACCTGTGGTCCTTTGAACTTTCCTCAGAATAGAAAAATGTCCCAGTCACAATTGAATTTTGTATATGTTCGGAACCAGTGTTAGAATTTCTAAGGATAAACTACCTTGGGGAATTTTTATCATGCCATCCTTGCTTAAGAAGAATTTAGTGATCCCTGGCCTTAATAGTGTCAAAAGGAGCATTAAAATGGATAGAACTAATATTCAGCAAAACTCGCCTTGCTTAAACAGGATGATTTTGGAAATTAGGACGATATTTCAGAGGAGAATCCTCATGGAACAAAAAGCTATGTCTGAACCACTTGATATACAGCAGTATTACAGTGAGAGATTCAATGAAGGATGGTCAGGTGACTCCATCCCAGCTGCTACAGTAAATGGAGCTGCTGAAGTGAGACAGTGTACAAAGTACAATGATGCTGGGCTCACCTTGGTGCCCTCCAACTGGGGCTGTGCAGTCCTCATGAAACATAAGAAGCAAGTCATTCACTTCTGCAATGTGGGCACATGGTGATTATGAGTCTGGTGCATTCTTTTAAAAAAAAACTAAACTAGGCATATGAATATACATGTATGTGTATGTATGTATTGTGTGAGACTCCATGACAATTGTGACCTTTTATGACCTGATGTTCATGTAACTAAGGTCTGTTCCATTCAATGAAAACTATGAAACTCTCGATG